TCCTAGGCTCTTAGCCGTATATATAATTTGCAGGTAGAGATTGGAGTTGAATGTGCTTAACATTTAGAAATCTGTCACTCTCATTCAATATTGAACAGTCAATTTTGCAGTAGATCAGAGCTGGGGCCAATGCTGCTTTTGTAGTTTTAAATGCCATTCAAAAGTGATTTGCTCCTAAGAAGTTGTTGGGGAATTAATTGCTTCTATAAAAGGCCAAGAACAATCCATCCTACTAACACTCTCAAAATCAATCCCAAGTTGTCCAGAACATATATATTTTTTTTCTCACGAGAATTTATAAAATAATAAAAAGGAGAGACAACATGTAATTGAGTAGGTAAACTCTCTTTCAGGTCCTGTTCTGGCTTTATCAGGCAAACATAAAAGCATACAACTGCTCAAAATTTCCTCTTTAAGTTGATGATAAAGTGGACCCTGGAAACTAAATTCATTTTGCAACCCTATCTCTGCCATAAATGGCCCCCTGGAATTCACATCTATTATCTCAACCACAAACACTCGTATTCATTTCCTTCAATAATGCCTCTATGAAATTAGCGGTGAAAAATATACGATATGAAAATCAAATCATTTAGGAGAACTGCATATAATAAACTAATAAATCTCTCCATCTGGAAGAACAGCTGAAAATATTCGGGACACCGAAAATCCCACTGGCATGAGAAACACATAGCGTGATCGAAATCCCACTGGCACGAAAAACACATAGCATGATTGGCCGGGATGTTTTGCTATCCCCAGTTCATATAAGTTTTTCTGCCAGAACAGATGCAAGCAATTCGCAAAGATTGGAGTTTGATATTTTTCACAGCTTGATATTTTTCACAGCTTGATATTTTTCCCTTTCTCGGGATGTTTTCTCTGGTGTTACGAAATACACAATCGTGGGGATCGCAATTGGGCAGACAATTTTAAGCTTGAACTAAATTTGGTGGGGCGCGCCAGGCCAATGCAATAGTGCAACGCTTGGGCGACACACGAGAGTCCCAATAGCAAGCTACTGTGGTGGACCCTCCCCCTAAAGAAATTAATTTAATATCGTGTGGACCATTGGTCCACGTATCAGATATTAAACTGATAAGAACAGATACTACACTTGATCTTAGCCAAAAGGCCGAGAAAGGTATGCGTTTTCTCTTCTCTTCTTTCTCCTTTTATAGGGCCTTTCACTTCCATGCTTCCTTGGTGAGGCCGATGTGGGATGTGGGATTGTTACAAACAGCTAAAGGGTGCTACGCCTTCGAACGAAGGCTGAGGGGTAAGGGCTGTAACTGTGGGTGCGTGACTCGAACTAACAGAGAGCAAAATTGATTTGGTTTATACGGACTGTATTCTCATATAAGAGAAGCAAAGGCTGCCTGCACTTTGGGAAAAAGGTATGGCAAGCTTGGTATCTGTACTAACTATTTGTCGTTCCAAATTGCTTAACAAGTTCATCACACTTAGTGAAAACAATATTTTCTTCATGTTCACTCTGTCATTCAAATTCTTCATCTATTTTCTAAACTTGAACAAACCCATCAGCACAGATATTAATGCCGAACAAATCCAATTAGCACTTTTCATCACACAATGATACAATACAAGTTTCAAAGACTGGCTTATTTATCAGTCCATCACTTAATTCCTTTCAAAAAGTTTAAATACTCCTAAGCACTTGACATTAGCTCAAGCAATAAGGGTGAGTGAGAAAATGAGTTAAGATTATGATATGTAAATTAGGCCTGGGCACGGGATGTTACGGTATTGACCAACCAGAGCAGATCGGTTTTGGTATGACAAGGTACCATTTCGGTATCGCTGTTACTAAACGGATTTTTCATAGCCAAGATTTTCAAATTTAAAACCCATAGCAATCAGAAGAAATAGCATACCCGTCCAACAATCACTTTAAAGAATACAAAAAACTCACGCCTAAGATCTTATAGATCTGAAAAGGAAAAGATGAACAAAGAGCAAAAAGAAAACTGAGATTAAAGAGAGGAAAAAAAGAAACAGAGAAACAGAAAAAGAAAAGATAGATGGGGATGGAGTGGCTGGGGAGACTGGTGCGAAGAAAGAAACGGAAAGGAAGAAGGAAAAGACAAGAAACAGAAAGATAATAAAGTAAGAGAGAGAAGAGAGAATTAAAAAAAAGGGGGAAATATTAAATAAAAGGAAAGAAAAATAGAGAAGATGGATACCACAATTGCTGTGTCAAATGAGAAATTATAGAATGGTACTGTATCACCACTTCGGTGGGTGATACTTTCATTCAAAATATGACGATAACCCAGCTCGTGAGAGCTGGACTTTTACTCCCTAAAATAATTATAGCTATTTTTACAGCTGGACTTTTACTCCCTAAAATAATTATAGCTATTTTTACAGCTGGACTTTTACTCCCTAAAATAATATATATACCAAAACCAGCTCTCACGACGATAGAGTAATGCTATTTAGACACACAACATTGACCACTTTATGTGGCAACTGATGTGTCATGCCATGTCAATTAATGAATGTTGCCATGAGGCAACTTACTAAGAACACTAGGGCTTTTTAATTTGTTTTTTAATTGACATGGCGACATTCATTAATTGACTTGGCATGACACATCAATTGCCACATAAGGTGATCAGCTAAAATAGTCAATGTTGTGTGTCTAAATAGCATTACTCCATACAACGATAACCCAATCTTCTCTACCTTGTACTGCTACCCAACCAACTACCCAAGGGTTTTGGTTAATCTGAAACAAGAACCCACATAAAAATCACTAGAAAGAATTACCCGAGAAAGATTGAGCAGTGATGTCGAGAAATTGATTGGAGGATATCAGAGAGAAGAAGGAAAGAAATCGTTTGGAGGATCATCACAAAAACTGAAGATTCCTTTTGTGATTTCTGTACAAATGATGATCAACAAACCCAAAAAGAATTACCCGCATACTACAGAAACATGTTCAGTCCCTGATGGGATGATTGGGTTAGGTGGCAGTATGAAGATGGGGATTGAGTTGTGGGAGGTGGTTTCCAACGGCGTCTTTGGGTTCTTTAACTTTAAATAAATAAAAATCTTATTCTAAATAAAAGAAGAATTTTAAATTCAGCTGTAAAAAAAGCTATAATTTGTTTTTAAAAAATAACACGTCATATTTTGAATAGAAGTACTGCTAGCTGACGTGGTAGTACAATACCATTCTATAATTTCTCGTGTCAAACAGAAATGGTATGATATTGTATCATACTGTGTACTATGCAACAATAAGAGAAAAATATGAAATACAGAAATTCAAACGACACAAGGATTTATACTGGTTCAGTCTGTGTGTAGCCTACATTGAGTTTGAAAGACAACGAGAAATTCCACTAGTATTCCAAAAAAGATTACATCCAAATGAGATTAACTATCTTACCTATCCTAGGAATTACAGAGCTTAACTCTCACAACCCAAATCTCAAATACACCCAAGTCACTCTTAAGCTAACCACACACCAGAGCCAAGAACACAAGAATTGTTCTTGCTCACTAGGAAAGAACACACTAGGAACGATACAAAAGAAATAAACCTCCCACAAACACAAGGAACAAATGAAGAAGACTCAACCTTTGAAATGACTTGATCTTCCTTCAACATCTTGTGTAGCCAAAGAGGAGTTTATCTCCCCCATCACGGTGATGCTCTCTAGTATTCTCTCTGTGTGGAAGTGTCCCTCACTTCTATTTTAGCTTTACTGAGCAATGGTGCTCACGGCACCCTCAAATGGTGTGGCACAAAAATGCCCACACTCCCTGACTGATGCTCTCTTTCCCTTAGAGCATGTCCAGTCTTGAGCCAAGACTGGGCAAAAGGCCCCCCAAGGCAGCCCAAGAGAGCTCCAGCGGGAGAAAAATGGCCCTGGCAAATGGTGGGTCCCATCAAACTGGGCAAGCCCATGGGCAGATCTTGCCTGGGCTGCAGCCTGAAGGCGCTGACGTCAGCGCTGATGTTACGATGACGTCAGCGAGTAAAAAAAATTCAAAAAAATTCAAAAAAATTTCAATTTTTTTTATAAAAAATACCAACAAATTATAGATATTTTCCCTATAAATACATAACAATTTTATTCACTTTCTAAATTGTTTATATTTTGTTGCATAATCTTTTTTTTTTCTTGCCCTTGCCCTAGCCTTCCAAGGGTGGAACCAACTAAGGCAAAGCTGATACTATTTATGTGAATAGTGGCAGCCCTTACCTTGCCTTAGGGTGGACATGCTCTTATGTAGACAAGTGCAGTGGCTAGCTGCTAGGAGATTCACCAACAGCTCCCACGTGAAAGGAAAAAGAAGCCAAACCATGTGCTGGAAGTCATCATTATTGGTGACATATAACACCCACTTGGAATAAACAAAGAGAAAGAAACCAATTCTTTCTGAAAGTGGACGGCTCCAAAGAACAAAGAAAGAACCCAAAGTCTTTCACAAATTTTGTAGCACACATGTCACCAACCGATTAGACTCCCCCATAAAATAATGTCTAAAACTCTACATTTAGACACCATGATTTCTTCCACTTTTCCATATTGCTTTCGGCTGCTGCCCATGGAGCCAAGGGAAACACAATATCGTCCCATGCGCATAATTTTATCATTCAAAAGACATTCCATATTGCTTTCGGCTGCTGCCCATGGAGCCAAGGGAAACAAAATATCCCATGCACATAATTTTATCATTCAAAAGACAATACCATCGAAAGCAAAAGACAATACCATCGAAAGCACTTGTGAAGCCAACAAAGTCAAGGTAGGTGCCCATAACAAAACACATCACATGTGCCATCAAATTTGAGCCAATTCCAACACATATAACATTGCATGTTTGGCTAATAATTGTAAATGCCGATGTGTAAAATCTAGAAGATGAATGTTGTTTCTTGTCTTAGCTTGAAATTGCATCCTCTCCATTCTATATGTATAGTTTGATTGCATACATACCAATTTGGAATGTGAAATGCCGCCTTTTTCTTTGCCAAATTTATTCAATTTTTCATTTTCCTTAAATTGAGTTGATACATCGGCATTTAAAGATTACAAAGCAGACTACATAAAGCAAGAGCAGCAGGTTTATTATTAACTTAACAATTTTGACAATGCTGCAACTAGCGAAAGACCACAAGGTACGTAAGTTGAACAATACAATGAAACAGTGCTAATTTGCAAAAACAAATCCACATCCATAACTTTTTGTTCTCTAAATTTAAGGAAAAGCCTGAATAACGGATGGGACAGCATGAATAGGTGTGATAGTGTGTCGGCTGAAGCCAGCTTCCCCAAGAACATATTCCCATTCCTTCAAAGTCCTTTCTTTTCCTGTGTTTGTATGGGCCATCATCACCATGTCTAGCATCAATCTCACATCTGTAAGTTTGGTGTCCTCTTTCTCATATTTTTCATCGATAATCGCTTCTACGATTATCACCTTCCCTTTGTCCTCCGGAATAGCTTCCCTGCACTTCTTAAGGATACGGATGCACTCATCATCGCCCCAGTCATGAAGAACCCCCTGCAATTCACGAAAACAGAATCAAAGTATCCATTGTCATAACGCCTTATTGAGCAAGAAAACTTATAGCAAGATAATCAAGGAGTGATGGCAGAGGAACCAATTTTTTTTCTTATCCCATTAGCGCAGACAAATGATGTAATTAGTGGTAGACATGAACAGATAAATCAAATGATGAAACGAATATGTCACAGGATGAATGAAAAATATAAAGATGTGTTGCTAACTTGCTGCTAGCTATTTTAAGGCTACTACTCTTCCTTAAATGGTTTAATTTTCTCTATTTCCTTTAACTATATATATACTAACCTTAATAACTACAGCATCAGCCTTTGGAACATAATCAAACATGTCACCTCCAACATTCTCAATGCGGTCATACTCCTGAGCAACAGACACAACATGAGGAAGATCAAAGTTGATGCCTCGGATCCAAGGGCATGCCTCAACCAACAAGCGCAAAGCAGTCCCATCACCCGCGCCCACGTCTACTATTGTGTCAAGCCCTTTGAACACCTCTATACAACTTCCAATCACTTCAGGCACATGCACCCTTGCATCACAAGCCATTGCTTCATTGAAAAGCTTGTTGTGATCAGGATTGGCTGCGCCAAAGCTCCATATGTCCTCACCATGTACTTCCTCAAACACTGGATTTCTAAGATTACCTTGAATTCGGGCACTTAAGCCATGCCATGGTGCCAGCATTACTGGGCTACTCTCAAGCAAGATCAACGCCGCCATGCTTTTTTCTCCTGATCTCAGTAGGCGTTTGGACAAAGGTGTTTGTGCATAACTTTTGGATCCTAAGTAGTGGATTGCAATTTCTTCTTTGAATATTTTGAGGTGGACTAGGACCCTCATGATGCGGTAAAGGGGAGAAAGATCACATCTTAGGGCAGATGATAGCTCTAGGAGTGTCATGGGGCTGCCATGGCTTTCAATTGCATCAGCTATTCCTAGCTCAATGGCACATTTTACCACTGCGATTTCGACAAACCCGAACACATATTTCCAGATTTCCAGTTTGGCATGTTCTTCTTCTTTCTCTTCTCCTCCTAACTCTCTTTGTTTATCTTCCATCTCTTTCTGTGTGTGTGTCGTAGGCTCTAAGGTAGAAATATATATAATTTGCAGGAATAGATTGGAGTATAGTTACATGCAGAACATGTGTTGAACAGTTTAGGTAATGTATCATTTTCATTGGGATTTTTCCCAGATTCAGCCACTCAATTTTAAATGTATATATTTTCATGTAATGGTAGACATCTTTTGCCTAATTGGCTGGAAGGATTTTGTCTTGTATACAAAATTCTTTCTTTGCCACAATATTTTATGAAAAAGTTTACAACGTAGTGGACAAACATGGTAAGCATGCATTGTTTAGCTGTAGCTAGTGGCATCATAAGAATCTTGTGTTTTTGCTGTGAGCATAATTTTTTATTGTTTCTTATTTTTGTCTTTCCAATCATGTTTTGATACTCTTCTAATACTATATGTATTAGAATGTGAGCATCCAACCCGAAATCAATTGACAATAGATGGAGAGATCCAAAATCTTTTATACCATTTGACAAGGCTTTAATTCTCCAATGTGAGATTCACACTCTCAATCAACACATACAACCTTTATCTACACACAAATCGGAGGAACAACTATTGAGCTATATGAATTGAATTGAATCAATACAGATGATACAATTTTCTGAAGAAAACTCTTATCTTATTTTGCTTCTTTCTTGCTCCTACTCTAACCAAAGTTTCCATCCATTGATTCTCTCTCGTAAGGACATTGAAAGACAACCTAATGCAATAGGAGAGCATTGAATTGGTTTGCTTCATGTGAAGGTTACATGCATATGTATATATTAAAAATCAAATCATTATGTTATACCCAACAACATGCTTTTTGTTTAGTTGTAGCTAGTGGCATTATCATAAGAATCGAAAATATGGAGGGCTAATAACGTACCGACACGTGGCTCTCAAGAATCTTATTTGAAAAATTGTTGGGATTACATCATGATAAGAGATGTGCTACGTGGAGAAAAAATATAATCAGAAATCTATAGGGCTAATCACGTCCCGACGCGTGGATATCAAAAATCTTATCCCAAAATATTTTTCTCTTCTAAAATGTATTTTAATTAGGATATAAATAGTAGTTTAATTAAATTAACTAATAAATTTACATAATATACTAACCCTCCCCACCTGGAGATGGACTAACAGAGAGCATAATTGATTTGGTTTGTACGGACTGTATTCTCATATAAGAGAAGCAAAGGCTGCTTGCAATTTGGGAAAAAGGTATGACAATCTTGGTATCTGTACTAACTATTTGTCGTTCCAAATTTGCTTAACAAGTTCATCACACTTATATGCTATATAATAACACAAGTGAAAGCACTATTTTCTTCGTGTTCACTCTTTGTCATACAAATTCTTCATCTATTTTCTGAACTTGAACAAACCCATCAGCACCAATATTATAGCCGCGCGGCTATACTATTTATCCAACAGTCAATTTCGAAGTGCGTAAGAGCTGGGGCCAATGCAGGAAATAGCGGTAGTGCCTGGGCCAATGCAACAGCTGCTTTTGCAGTTTCAAAAGTGAATTACAGCTAAGAAATCAACAAGAATCACTTATTTATTGAAAAAATCTGCTTTGAAAACTTATTTTAAAGAGATTATCATATGTGATTCAAGTGGAAATTAATTGCTTTATAAAAGGCCAAGAACAATCCAGCGTAGTTATGGCCTACTGATATCCACTCATCAGTTCATCATACTCATGCTTTTCTGATTTTTACCTTTGCTTTATCCTCTGTGCGTTGATGATAAGGTGGACCCTGGAAACTAAATTCATTTGGCAATTTGTGAGAACAACTTCTTTCACGGAAACCCTACCTGCCTAATATTGCACATCTCTTTCCTTCAGGGAATCATGTTTCCCACAAATGGCTCCCTGGAATTCACATCTATTATCTCAACCACAAACACTCGTATTCATTTCCTTCAATAATGACACTACGGAATTAGCAGTGCGATATGAAAATCAAATCATTTAGAAAATTGCATATAAGAAAATAATAAATCAAGTTCATACATGGTCAATGGGAATTCAAGTGATTCACAGATTTTAATCACAGTTTTGCGAGGATTCCAATCTCCTCATTAGTGTCTTTTTTTTTTTGGGGTGAATAAAAGCAAACTACCCAGAGTGATTTAAACAAACCATCCGAGTCTTAGGAACAGCCAACAAGTCATCTAAAAGTTTTGAATTGCAAGTTGGAATCCTAATACCTTTGTCAATCGCAAGTTGCAAGTTGCAACCCAAAGAAAAGCCCCCAAACTTCACCATCCAAATTAAATTTCCTCCTCATCCAAACGCACCGTACGTAATGCAAAGTTGTATGCTTTTGCGTTTGCCTGATAAAGCAAAGGTAAAAATCAGAAAAGCATGAGTATGAACTGAGTGGATGTCAGTA